AGAAGAATCTTTCCGTTGGCGGGGGGTCGGGGGCTCTATAAAGCTGTGGGGCACCCTGGACATCAAGACTGTCTTCCTGGACATAAAACAGAGCTGCTTTTAATGGCTTAGGGAGGAAGGCGGCTTTTTGTTCCAAGAGGAGGAGGTTTTCCACCGCTGACACAAGTGAAGGTCTCTATGTTTCCTCTGGTGCACTAGAGACACAGCAAACAGAGAGGCCAGAAAAGCCAGAGGTGGTCAGAAGGGCAGGAGGCCAGCCCATGTTCATGAGGGTTCCCAGAGGTCACAGAGGCAAGGCTGTGGCCAGGTCTGCAGCCAGAGAGCAAGGACAGGGCTCACTCATGAGGTCTGCAAAAGCTCAGCCCTCCTCTGACTGCAAGGAAAGACAGAGCGTTTGGAAGAGCCACTGAAGGAGAGAGAAAACAGACATACACCACTGCCAACATTGAATGTCAAATAAACAATGCAGCAAGATGCCTACTGCCACAATTCTAGTCTTTGCTCCCTGCAAAGCCACCATTGTTGTGAGCCAGGGAGGTAGTCCCCAGCCACACGAGGTGCCTGTTGACTAGGTGGGTCCAGACAGGGGTCACCAGTTCCCATCCTCAGCCAGGGAGACCTTGGCCCACATGCTACGTTCTGAGCCCAAGGAAGTGACCCCTCCCATGGCCCACTTGACTCCCTCTGACCTCTGATACAGGACCTTACACAACAGATAGCAGAGTTTATCTATTGCCCTGCCCCTCACTGAGTCCCCAGAAGAGCGCATTGGTCCCCCGGTGCGGACTGGATGAGACCCACCCTTGGACAAGCAGCTTAACTTGGACACCTTTGACTGAAGTATGCAACACATGCATAGCCCAGCTTCCCAGGACACCTAGCAGGCATTTGTCCAGGTGAAAAGCACCATAGTCAGCGTGTAGCTCCTGGAAATGCACTTTGCTGTCCTGAGATTGCTGCATGCTGGAGAGAGGAAACCCAGCTGGTGGAGAGGGTACAAAGTCTCCATTTCCTTCTAGAAATGAATGCATTCCAGTGTGTGTGCCTCTTTCAGAGTCCTGGAAGTCCTAAGAAGGCCACTTCCTCTCTGTTCCCACCCAGGTTTGGCCAAAGCATGAAGCTAGGGACAATGAGGTGGCTAGCGGAGCTGTCTTTGGGAGTCTGCATCTAGTCGGGCAAGGGTTGAAAAATTCTTTCCTGCACGACAGATCTCAACCTGTCCCAACTTCTCAGGAGGCACAATGCAGCCTTGCTAATTTTCATGCTATGAGTGAGATCTCTTAGGATTTGGTGTAGGCCCAGCACTATCTCAGATGCCCCTGGAGAGGAGACTGCTGGAGAGATGACTCCACAGAAGGAGAGTACGGTGCTGAGCTAGGACCCTGTGTGCTGGATGTGCAGCAGGTGGAGGACAGTCACTGCCAGTGAGCTGTGACCAGAGAAGGAGTCGGCTCCTGGGCTACAAAGCCACTCCCTTCTTGCATGATGGTCACATGTGGAAGTCCCTGGGAACTCCAACTTGGGAAGGGTGGACAAAGACTTAGCAAGCTCTTCTCCCACATTCCACTCAACCACCTATGATATTCCCTCTCCACCTTGGCATAGCTGTCAACCACCTGGGCTACTGTCCTTGCTGGGTGGCAGTTAAAGGTCCATCCTGAAGGCTACAAAGAAGATGCATCACCACAGGATGTCGAAAGAGAGAGAGGGAGTGAGGGGTGGCCTGGTGGTGCTGAGCCAGGTGACAGCGACGGTCACCTCTCCAGGTACAGTCCCTTCTGTTCTCGCCGGCAGCTGAAGCTGCAGCCCCTCAGTGACAGGGCTGCTGCAGAGGCTCCTTCACCCTTTTTGAACCCACCTGGTTCCCATTAGAGACAAAGCTCCAGAAGAAGAGAAGCAGATGTTTCTCACATGACAAAGCTCTTGCATGGTCCAGTAGGAAGCAAACTCCAGAGTCAAGGGCTCACCCTCAGCAGCCAGGAGCTGGGCGAGGTTCTGGGACAGCACTTCGCTCCTGTCCTCTGTGAGACACAGGCTTCGGGGTTCTGGAGGGGCCTGTGTGCCTCCCTGATGCCCAACGTCCCTCCCTGCCACCTTAGTCCACCTGTGGGGTGGACATCACAGCCTGGTCATTACCCTGGGACCAAGTTCCCACACCTACTTCCTATTCCTTCTGCATCCCTTCAGTTTAAAAATAGACCTGTAACAGAACCACCTCAAACACTAATCAATTGATAAAACTGAGATCAGTGATTTAGCATGAATTTAAGAAAGTTACACATAAGGCAGAACATGCTTCTTATTTTGCATGGTTGTGAACCCCAAAGCACACTGTTTGTAATTTATGAATGACATTTGTTTTGTGAAGTTAGCAGATTGCTCAACCAAGAAAAAGTATTGTAGACCTCTTTCCTATTCTAGGTTTGATTTTAAAGGAAATGAGGCAGAGATCTGGGAAATATTTACCATGTCACAGTGAAGAGTACTGATTAGATTTATTTGTGCTTAGTAAGCAGTGATATGAATAACTTTATGTAATTAAAGAATCTTGCAAAATCTTCTATCTGATAGGCTTTTGTATTCTGGTATTTTCTAGGAATAGAATAAACTGAGTAGGATGATTCAAGATATTAAGAAATTAACACTCAAGATTATCTTGATTGGAGGAACTGAACAATGCACTGTTGAGAAAGAAGCAATTACACATCTTCTCATTTATTGAACATATATGGACTTACATAGGGAAAGGAATGTTTTACTTTCAGTAGCAGGAGACTGAGTCATGTATATTTCTACTTCTATTGCGAATCAATCAATATTAGCCCAGTGATCAAAAGGCTATGACAATTAATTATCTCCCTTTTTAGTTATTTATCCATTTGATTGTATTTCTATTTATTTTGTGAAATTCCTTCTATGAAAGTAAGAATGGTACCATCAGAATGGCCATAGAGCACATGGTCTTAATACCCTTTATGAAGGTAGTAAATATACTTTATGGGAATTATGCAATTTTTCATGAACCAGGAGGACTACATTTTTCTTTCCTTTCCTACAAAAATAGGATCTGAAAAGCTGTTCCCAAAGCACATCTGACCACACCTCCAGGCACACACTCATGATGTGTCATGAAGCGGAGCAGTATATTCTATGTATTTTCTAACAAAAGTAATTTTTAATTCAAACAAATGGGGGGAAATTCTGCTTTTGGCTCCTAAGAAGAAACCAGGGGAAAACAGGAAATACATTTCTACTTTGTGCTTTTCTCAAGTACATGAAACTCTACTGATAAACTGCGTAATTATTTTAAAAATACACAGAATAATGAACCACCAACTGTTTTCTTAAATACATGTGCCAATGTCTAACCAAAAATGTGATGAATAAAGATATTTTTAAAAATAGAAATGAAATACAAATTACAGTCTCCTGGTGCTTAAAATGTCAGTCACAACAGTGGTTGGGAAGACGTCCTAGTATCATTTCCTGTTTCGTAAAAACTTAACAAATTAAATACCACCCTTATCACCCTGAAATTCCTACGAGGTCGGACTTTTTTCATATTCTCGGAACAAACCTGCATCTGTACAATGGCACTTCACACAAACATAACGGAAGAATTTCACACTCTGCACCCGTGGATCAGCCCAGCGCCATCTTTTTGTATTGTACTTGTGTAGGCAGAGTTAAGTCGAAGTATAGGGGAGGCGATCTGATGTAAACTGGAACCTCCTGAAACATTGTTTTCAGCCCCACTACCTACTGAGAGCCAGGGCGAGTTTTATGGGCTAATTATAATCCGCCAGCCACTCAACAGTTAAGAAATCTGGCAATGGGAAAATGAAACAAAAATGCACTCATTCTCTGAGCTTCTGTGCAGCTAAATTTGCAAAATCAGAGGCAATTTTCCAATAACAATTACTGGGCTGAACACACACACCTGGAAGTGACAGTTTGTGTAACAGCTCTGCCCTTTTGGCCCAGATCAAGTGTCAGCACTGCTACATTTGCTTCTTCCTTGAGCTTGCAGCAGTGACCAGCAGTTCTGGGTACCAATGTGCAGTATTCATGCTTTCTTAAGCCCTAGACGCTATGACCCAGGAGCACATCAAATAGCTTGGAGACATGGCAAAGAAACTGATCAAAATTCAGTTTCTGAAGTTTATGAGACAAGAAAACAGGTTAATCTTATATGATAAGGGAAATATACTCTAATAACCAGTTCTAAGCAAAAATTTTTAAAAATCTGTATGTCTCTTGTAAATTTCCCATCATGAATATTCATTTGCTGGTGGTGCAACCTTGCCCTGAAAAGGTTCAGGAAGTGTGGGCAGGAGGAAGGGCTCATCTGGAGTGCTGGGGAGGGAGCAAAGGCCAGGGACACAGGAGGCAGGACACTCAGAAAGAGCCGTGGGCCGGCTGACCCTGCTGAGCCCCACCTGCGGCCAGCACTGCCCAGCTCCCTCTCTCAGCTGCCCAGGATCAGTGACCTACCAGGACCAGCAGTACTCGGGCTGCTCCCATGGAGGGCTAAGAGGAAGCCCACGGCCAGAATGTGGACATGGCCAGATGTACAGGTTGAAAGCCCTGCCAAACACTGCCCCACAGCAAACACAGCCCACCCAGGCTGGAGACTTGCAAACTAAGTGAGTCAAGGGTTTGGACAGTTCTGAATCGAACTCACAATCTCACACTTGCCAGGCAGGCACTTATACTGCTGAGCTAAATCCCCAGACCTAAAATCAAATTCTTATTGACAAGTATTTCCATTTTCATATCCAAAACTATAGCTTCTTTGGTATCTATAGATAAATCATTTGAAGAAGTTTGGAAGTTTAATAAAACACCAGCTTGTAAATACATACTGGTGGCCAAGTTAGGAGAATTACTTTCACCATTCAGTACAGAAGGAAAAGTGGTCCTGTCCACATAAGGCTCAGAAGGTAAAACCCCAGGAGCTAAATTATACCTTACCAAAAGCAACATCAGGCCCCACTTACCTGAATTTTTGTTAGTCTTGTTCTGCCGGCTTTTAACTTGCTCAGTCCAAAGCGTGGGATAGCGTGAAGCAATGTCTAGGAATCAAGGCAAACAGCCAACATGAACACAAAAGTTTCTCACTTAAAGATTTCAGCAGACAGTCTACAAGCCCCCAAAATCAATTGAACAAATAAATGTATGCTGTAACTTTATAAAGATATAATTAAAATGATTATACAGATAGGAAACAAAGGAAATAATAATATACTCTTAAAATATTTTAACATACATTTTGCTTCCTCCAAATTAAAAGTTGCTTGATTCTAGAAAGTTCTTCATTAAAAGTACTAGGTTTTAGAAAACAGTTCAAAGCACAATGACATATTCTGTGGGGTAAAGACAGTTGATTTTTCATACAGCATGCAAGCTTTCACTCAGTTCAAAGGTTCAACAGAAAGTGTGAAATCTAAAATACAATTTTTTCACAGCTTTTCAGAAACACACTACTTTAGTGATACTGTTTTGCAAACAGAATGCAATCTATATGATGCGGATCCACACTCTGCCCTGCAAACACAGACTCCAAACTGGCCTGGATTTGAATCCTTGTCTACCACCGCCACCTATGTGACCTCCCCCCACCCCTCTGTGTCCCACTCTGGGGATGGATTTTGATCACAGTGCATGTGACATTATGGTCATGGCCGTGCAAGCTTAGTGAGGATGGTCATTAATTGCAGAGTGACACAAGTCCACATTCTGATTGATTTATAATGTGCATGTCATATACTTTTTCTTCATACTCTGATCCCATTTGACCAATGAATTTGATCGATGTCTAAGATAATTTATTAAACATAAAAATAGGAAAACTACCCCTGTCATGACTACTTATTCAAATGTGCAATATGCTGTGCAGGGAAATGGTATATGTTATTGTACCCTCTTGAAGTATTCATTTTATGTTACCCAAATTATAAAATTGCAACCCACAAGCTTCTATTAAAAATAAAGGCCTTAACATTCTGCCACATGAAAACACATGGCAACACTTAAAATCATCAGGAAAAATAGCAGGTGGCCTCATGGGGCAGAAGTGGCCAGATGCCATCCATCTGTGCCTCTTTGTTAGCACCTGTACTTAAGACACGTAGTGAAATGACTTTTCAAGCCAGGCAAATTAACACAGCAGACATCTCATTTAAGCCGTGTGTGTGTGTGTGTGTGTGTGTGTGTGTGTGTGTGTGTGTGTGGTGCAGGGAAAGCACCTAAAGTTGTCTCTAATAGGAAATGTTAAGCATACGACTTTTTCTCTTTTTTGGTACCAGGATTGGACTCAGGACCTCATGCTTGCCAGACAGGCACTGTATAAATGAGCTAAATCCCTGGCACCTCACAATCTACAATTACCAGCTCCAGTCCACAGAGATAGTGTATTAGTGTAATAATAACACTAAGTCTGCAGACTGCACACTGGGTCGCTCCATGATGCCAGAGTAAACTTTGGAATCCTTCGTTCACCTCTTCATGTTTCCCCTGCACAGCGCTGGTAATCACATCTTTTTATTATCTTTCTGTGCATTTCAATTTTTTTTAGGTTTTTTTCCCCCTAGATTCTGTGTTAAGTGAGATCATGCAGAATCGTGCTCCATGTGCCCGGCTTATTACAGCCTGTTCTGAGTTGTGTCCCAGCCAGGATGACCTGACTCTTTCTCCCAGCTCCAAAACCCACCCCTTACCCTCCCTATGCACATCTGTCATCCCTGGGCTTACCTTCTTCATCTCCTTGAGGCTGAGTCTCCAGCGCCGGGGCCACGGCATCATCTGAATTCAGAACGGAAAAGATTTGCAAGGAGACTACAATTATGAGAGTAAGCTAAGTAAGTGTGCATACAGGACGGAAAGCAGGACCCACGCACAGCCCCCACACCTGACCCCACCACCCCCAGCATGCAAACCGAGGCGCCACGCAGGGCTGGCCTAAAACATGAACGGACACAATGGTGGGCAGCTCCTTTAAAATGCTGCTCGAGGCTGACCCAGGCATCCAAGCAGGACACGGGGTGTGGTTATAAAACACTGAGCCCAACAACAGGCAGTATGATGGATGGAAAAGAAATGGCAAAAGGTGAGTGGGAGCCTCACTGTGGAGGAAGTCCCTGTTCAGCAAAGTCACGCATTCAGGACACTGCGTATGTAAGAGACAGGTTGGCAGGAGTTGGGGTGGGCAGCTAGCTCCGGTGCATTGTGTGCCCATTTCTCTAAGTAGAAAGGCAGCACCAGGGGGTCAGAGACTGGACAAAAGTGCTTGCACAGTGCTTAGACCTTCCCCCCACTGCTGTGGGAGGGCACAGGATGTATGCACAGGGCACCACACACGGCTAATCCGCATGCAAGGCTGAGGTGTGAGGAGCCAAGAAGGATGTGTTTCAGATGGGCAATTGTCATTTAATTCACTGAAGACCACACTTTGGGTCCCCCAGCCAAGCGCAGAGTCGTGAGCCCCAGACCTGCCAGAAGGCAGTTGGGAGCCAGGCTTTCTAAAGGCCCTGTCTATGCAATCAACCCTGCACTGCTACAGGAACAGGAACCAGTATTCCTAGAGTGCCCTCTGCGGTCTCACTCTGGCTGTCCTCTGGTTCTACTGCCCAAAGACTACTAGATCAAAGTGCAAGACCAGGATAGCTCTGGGGTAACTAACTAACTGTGAATCAGCCTCTGCCTAAGCCAAAGAATAAGCATGAAGCTTCTCGTAAGTCTTATTGGGGGAAAGGCAAAGATAATTTTCACAAAGCAATGTCTGGAAGACATTCGCTGCCCAAACAATGACAAAATTATAACATCACTTCTATGAAATACCCAGGTCTAACACTGATGATAGCAATGAACTGGGCTGGAATCATTTTGCTATTAAGTATTTTATCATCTGAGAAAAATAACTGAAGAGAGAAACATATGTAAAGCACATTTAACACATTAAAAGTTTTAAAAGAACATACTTCACTGCCATATGTAAGTCTTTGGAGAAGACAAGTCAAGCATGCTATTGCTGGTGTGCACTTTGCCGAGGTGGACACAGGTCACCACTCTCAGAGCTCCAAAATTTCCCAGTTACTGGGGACTGGTCTTCTGGAAATTTCCAGGCCACCACAGTGAGACAGGCATGCCAGCCCTGACTCAGGGAGGAGCCTTTCCCATGCTCTGACCCCTACTCCAATCTGCCAGGGTCTTGCTCAGCCTTGATCCTCCCTCTCACCACTGAGACAGTGCTCCCTGAGGTATACCAAGCTCTTGGATGCTACTGACTGGGCCCTATGGAAGCCAAACAAAATCTCAGAGAGCTTCATGCTTTATCTGTAAGCCAATATTTTTGGGCTTCTCATGGGCTTCATGTTTTATCTGTTTTAGCTATAATCCAACGTTTTGCTTACTTTGGGGTATTCTTTCTCTAAGCTACACTTCTGCAGATCAAAGCTTTAAATCCATTTTCTGGTCCGCACCCAACTTCCCAAGGGATTCCCCAGTGGGCCTCTTCCCTATCAGGATGAGGAATCCTATAACAGTGTGAAGAAGAAGTCTCTTCTTCTCAGCACTTTATTAATTCTTCTAATTGGGAACATGACCACTTCCTTTTCCCTAAAAATTATCAATGTCTATCCCATTGTCTCCTAGATTCAAATCCAAGCAGAGTGTTCCAGTTGACAGTCCCGTAGAGCCTCCACCCTCTCCCCAGGTGACTCTCAAGCAGTCCCTGACATACCTCAAGTAACCCTGAAATGCTTGTTCAGAACCCTGACACTCTTACAATAGACTATGACACCACTATTCCCTGACACACCTGCAGTGACCTCTGGTGCACCTAGAATGATCCCTGGTGCATCTACATTGGCCTGTGACACACTGCAGTGAGCACTGATACATCTATATGGTTTCTGACCCACCCAGTCAGATCTGGCATGTTCACAGGGACACATGTACAGAGCCCCTGACACACAGAGATTCATGATGTGGCCTCAGTGTGCCCAAGACAACACAAGCAGAGAAGCCGCAGGTGGACCCTTGGTGTTTTAGCAGGGTATAGCAATGTCTCCCAGATAACTTAAAACAGTAAGGGTTCGATAGATTTTGTTGAATGTAAAAAAAGTAACCTCAAGAACTGGCATTCACTACTGCCACTACTACCAGATTAAATTTCGATTTGAGAATGTATGTAAGGCATTAAATTGGATTTGCTAGTCTATCATCACATAATTTCATTTAAGATAGTTACCTGTTTTTCCTGTGCCTTCCCGTTGGGGTAATTTTTCATTTATGGAACCTAAAAGCAGAAAATAAGGAGTGAAATTATTTTTGACTCCCAAAGAGCTATCAGTGACTAACCTGGGCAACTATTTTATTCAACTTTGGTTAACCCACAGTGGAGTTGCTTTCTAGTTAAATTATGCAAGATTTTCAGTACCCAGAGGTGATCCTGAACCCCACAGTGATAGGCCCTCAACTGGGAACGCAGAGATCAGTTCCTACTTTTAGTGTTAAGCACTTGGTCATATAAAACCCATGAGCCTAGCACGGGACAGCTGGCAATGTTAAAAGGACACCTTAACACACGCCCCCACATTGGGGAGCTGAGGCAAAGGACAGGTGGTTTTGACATAATAAAAGTTATGGAACTACAGATAATTAAAAACCCTAGCTTCAACGAATCTTAGCTATAGAGAACTGAAGAAGCATATTTTTGTAGCAGAACACAGGATATTTTCTAGCTGTTTATGACCAAGTAATTTTTGAGGAAAGTTAGGCACGCACTATTGGCAGATTCCTATGACAAACTTGAGGCCGGTTCCTTGTTTCCCATCAGACTAAAACTGCGTTAGGCACCCACTCCTTCATTCATGATTATCATACTGACTCAAGGTAATAAAAGCAAGCACTAGGTAACACCCTCAGCGAAAACCTCTCAAAACTTGAAAAGTATCCTTCATCCTTCCCAGTGCTGAATGGACTAAAATGCAGACCAAAGTTTGGTTAAAGATATTAGCTTTAGAAGACTTTTGAGAATGTTTCTACGTCTCAATAACACAATAATGATGTGCTGGGGAATGCACAGGCTACTCAGCGTGTTCAAGGATCTGGGCAATCAGACAGGATCCACAGAAAGATAAAATGCAGCCAGGGAAGTGTAAGCCCTCCTCTGCACATTGATTACTAACAGGACTTCAAGAACACGTAAAGAGTTGAAGCCTTAGGCAGAACTGCATCTCTGGTCATCCTGCTGCTGGGAAGAGAAGCCAGAGGCACAGCATCCTTTCCTGGACCATTTCTAGACTTTCCAAAGCTGCCAGCTCCATGCTTCCCAGCTGTTCCTGCCGCCGGTCTGTGACACTCCCTGCTCAGGCAGGGCACAGGCTGACTGACACTCTAGTGAGACCCAGAGCCGGTCGCTGGTGACTGCTCTCCTAAAGCCTTCAGAAATTCTCTCTGCTCTTCTCTTCCCTGTGTGCCATCTCTACAGATCAAGATTTTGCCAAAAGCTTGAGTTTCCTACTCATCCATTTATTTTCACCACGGGTGGCTGCAATGGGTCAAAAAATATTTCTTCTTTTGACTGGAAATGACAGGACTTTAGTAACATTTCTGTACTTTAGTATGTGGGTTTCAATTTACAAGGAAAATATAAATATGCTAAATAATAATTAGACTCCCCTTGCTCATGAAAGAGTGGCTCGATTGCATTAAGATGAATTTTTGTAATCTAAGAACCCAGCAGTAAAAACTGTGGACTCAGCATCTGATTGGAGACCTAGATCAGGATGCATCATGTAGGAAATCTGTCTTTCCCCCAAGCAACTTCTCTCTGAGCCAGTCAACACAAGCCTGCGCATGAGTCCCTCGAATTCAATCAGCATTTATGTAAATAAATGTCTGCAAAACCATTTCTATCTGCTTCTTCATATGTAAGAAAGAACTTTACACAGAACTTCGCCACAGACTCTAGGTCCAAATATTGTCCCATGGGAACTCTGAAGGGGGTCCCATTGGTGTCTTTCATGGGTCTCCCACCTTCCTGTAGACAAAATGATTCCTCCTGTCACAGCTTTCCTCCACCACACAGGCCTGGAGGGCTGGGAAGTCCTGACATCACCCTCCACTCCAGCATGAAACACAGGGATCTAAGCGGCATGGATCCAAAACCGAGCAAGCAGCTCTTCCTCCTGCATGGCATTTTCCTCAGGAGAAGGATCTGATTTGAAGTCTCTGGGGTTTGTAAGCAGACTGGTCTTGAACCTAGGTCAGAGCTGGTGAATGCACAGCATGAGTGCTAAGCCAGCTGCTTGTTACCACTGAAAACACTGAAAGGGTCTCTATCACTGCCCTGGGATGGAGGTACAAAATAGGGCCTGGGAGCCAGAGCCGGAGTGACATGTAGGGCAAAACGGTGACAGTCCCTGGACCTCAGGCCAGCTGGATGGCTGCCCGTAGAGAAGACAGCCTGTAAGATATGTGACACCACGTCCTCACACCAGTCACTGAAAACCACAGAGCTCGCATTCCACCTCACTGCTGCGATAAAGGGCAGCTTCCAGCTACAAGGGTGCGCACTTCTGTGCTGGTGAAGAGACAAGCGTGCGTGGCTCAGAGAAAAGCAAGGGCTTGATACCTGAAGTTCTCTGCACTCGGCTCAAACTCAGCTCCTGCAACAGGGTGGAGAAAATTCAAGGCAGCCAGGAGAGGAGCCAGTGTTAGAGGTGTGCTCCCGTGGGAGTTCCCTTCAAAAATACTGCGTGTGTTTTAAAACATCGAGACGTGTGGCATGGATGCCAGAGAAAGGGGGAGTCTAATGGGCCAGTCTACTGCAGAAGCCCTCCAGGACCCTCCAGGGGACAGCTGCACAGAGCATGCCCGAGTGGGGACTGAGAGCCCTGTGGTGATACCCACATGTGAGCTCTTTCTTGGGTTGTGCCCCAGGCTCCAGTCAGCCTGTGCTGCTTTGGTGGAGGTGAGGGGCTGGAGTGGGCTGCACTCCGTGTGCACGAGCACCCTGTTGCTGCTGGCCCTTTTCCATTGTGAGGGCACCCTGCCCTCTCCTTCTCTAGTGGAACAGCAGGAAGGTGCCCTGGAGAGGGCAGTAGTCTTGAAGGTGAGTCAAAGTGGGAAGCACATGACTGGCAACACTGCAGAAATACAAGCACGCAGTGCAGAAGCCTATCCTAATACGTGTCACACAGCCATACTGTCTCCTTGCCTGTGCATCTCATATGTCCAGGAGGAAGAAGCCATGCAGGCCCAGGGCTGCTTACCACAGCCTCTGGCACTGCCTTTCCTTCACTGATTCGCTTACCCATTTACCAAATACCTGTCCTGTGCTGTGGGATGAGAATCCAAGGAAAACAGCCTTGGGGAATCCAGTCCAGTCCAGTCCAGTCCAGTCCAGTCCAGGACAGAGAGCTCTCTGTAACACCCAGTGTGAGGACACACAGCCACAATCTGGCTGTGCTCAGAAAGACCCACTGACTATCCCAGCCCAACTTGTATAGTCCCTATTTTAAATCCTTTAACAGCCCATAGTGTGGGTGCTGCCATTCCACAGAGGAAGAACCTGAGGCCCACAGTGGTAACTGGCTGGTGAGCAGTGGGCCAGACCCATCTCCTGCATCCCTAGCCTAGGAGCCAGCTGATCTGAGGGAAACAGAAGAGAACGGGCTCCAGCCAGGGAAGCAGGTGAGTGCAGACAGCAGAGGCTCAGGACAGGACACCAGGGACCCTGAGGATGTGGTCCTCCTCCCAGCTCGGGAGCTCCTTCTGCAACCCCTGGTCCACCTGCCAGCAGGCATTTGTTACCTGTGGCTCCCTGCTCAGCTGGACTCCCTGATCCTGGCCTGCAGGAGAGGACTGATGGGAGGATCCAGGAGAAGACTGATCACTGGCTTATATGCCAGAGTTTAGGACATCAATTCCAGACTCCTGTGCCCACTCCCAGGTGCAAGCCCCTGGGGGCCAAGAGATGGTTGTGCTGGAATACACAGGGGGACAGTGCCACCGAGCATGGGCATGCAGTGGGCCCATGTGTACCCTCTGTATATTCCACACTCTGTCAGAAGATTGACTGAAAAGATGCAGAGGGTCGGCAGGTGGGAGAACGGCAAGTTCAGGGGAAGCCATCTGACTTCTGAATTCCTAGGAGAAGAAACTCAAAGCTTTGGGCCAAAATAGTTTAGCCACAGCTCATGCTACAGTCCCAGGATTGTGAGCCACTAGGCCCTCCCCTTCTGGAGGAACTTTCCCCAGTGCACTTCAGTGAGACCAATCTTATATTCCCAGAATCTGCATTGTCTTCAAATGAGGAAAAGGAGAAGGGGGGCATTGGCTATTTCTTATTTAAGTTGCTTTTACATTTCCTTATCAATATGAAATATTTTAACAACTTATTTTTAGAAAGAACTGCTAGACCTAAAGAAAAGTTCATCTTTTAAAAGAAAGTTTCTTCTTATCCTTTCCAATCAGAAAAAAGCAATTTCAAATTTGCAAGTTAGTGATCTTGTAAGGAATACTTCAGAGACATCAGAGACTGTCTTGATTACTTTTCTCTCATTGCTAAGACAAAATACCCAATACCCAAAATTAAGAGAAGAGAGGTTTATTTAGCTCACAGTTTGTGGAGGTTTCAGTCTGTAATCAGCTCTCTCCAAGGAAGGGTGGCATGGCACAGGGGCGATAGTTCAAGGTGGCAGGAGGCAGCAAAATCAACAAGAGCAAAGAGAAGGGGAGAACAAGCCTCTCCTCTCCCCTCCTCTCCTCTCCTCTCCTCTCCTCTCCTCCCCTCCCTTCCCACCTCCCCTTCCTCCCCTCTCCTCCTCTCCTCTCCAGGGTAGGTGAGGCACTCACACACCCTCCAGTGTACAGGCTGAGAATGTTTACAAAGTAAGATCCCTGGCTCCTTGCTGAGCTACTCAGTTAACCTTCTCAACTTCTCAAGTTGAGGCAATATATCAACCATTATAGAGACCAACCCCAGCTAGCTTGCTGACTTCATTATTCAGAAATTTAATTGTCTAGTATGCTGGATATTTCTCTTCAAGTTCCCCAGGTAAGTGAGATCCTTGCCTTAGTTCAGGAGCCATTAATTAGAGAAGAATGAAAAATCCAGGAGGCTTCTCCTTATGAAGTAAAACCTTTCAGAAATCATTTAAAGTTCTCCTAAAATATCATTTCATCATGTCACCTAAGAACCAACACTTCAGGTATTGCAGAAGAACATGGAGTTGTAGCTACATGAAAGTCAGTCATGTACCAAAAGGTTATTTAGTCCAATTCAATGTTCTCTGTCATCTGTGTTGGTTACTAGGTGTCCCTTCCCTGGGAGCCACAAATAGATACCATGAAAACCAGACAGGAAGTGAAGGAGGGCAAAGGAGGACCACTTACCTGCTCAGTCCTGCAGAAATAAGCACTGCATCTTCCCATCATGAAAGGCAAAGGGCAAATTTGGGTGCTATGGCACTTGATAGGAAACAGACATGGGCGAAGAGTGACCTCCTGTCCTCAGCTCTGAGGGGGACCTCCTCCCCCTTGCTGTGGCTGTGCTGCAGCTGATGAGAGCCCCAGCCCCTAACTGACCCACAGTTCCAGTGCTGTCCTGTTGCTAAGGCAGGGCTCGGTGGGTGCTCATGATGACCCCATCGTGCTGCCTCGAGTTTCCTGTAATTCAAAATCTGTGACCTACTTCAAAGACGTCACTAGAGGCAGCTCCGTAGGGAGATTCTTTGGATATTGTAATAGTAAAATATCTCGCAGGTAGATTTGGTTTACAACACCTAAACCAATCTGGACTCCAGCGAGGAATAAAGCCCTAGCCTGCTGCATAGTTAGAGCAGAGAGATAAGATTAAAAACCTGAAGCTGGGCCAGGGATTTAGCTCAGTGGTGCAAGCACCTGCCAACTAAGCGCAAGGTTGTGAGTTGGATCCCTGGTACAAAAAAAAAAAAAAAAAAAAAAAAAAAAAAAAAAAAAAAAAAATCTGAAGCTGACTCCAGGTTATGGAGACTGGACCAGCTACAAAAATCTTCTCTGGGAAACAAGCCCTTTGTGTTTAACTGAGTTCCTCCCTCCATCTGTGTTTGTCTTTAAACTATGAAGAAGATAGGAGGGACGGCAGGGGAAAGAAAGAAGGAAGGAAGGAAGGAATGAAGGAAGGAAGGAAGGAAGGAAGGAAGGAGGGAGGGAGGGAGGGAGGGAGGGAGGGAGGGACAGAGGGAGGGACGGAGGGACGGAGGGAGGAAAATTCCTATAGAATACATAGAAGCACACTGTGAGCCGAAGTCTCTGGGCTGCATCCCCTTCCATGGAAAATGTTAATGGGAAATGTTAATGGACTTCCTGATGTTTTTCTTGTATATTTCTGGTGCCAGCAGAAAACCTCTGAGCATAAAGCCAACAGGTCTAAGTCACCAGAACTCCGGAAACACATACATCGCAAGCTACAAGGAAGAAACACCTGCTCTAGGAGACAAGAGCCATGAAGCGTACTGGGATATAGCTCAAAGAGTGGCTCTTGGGTCCTACAGGGCACAGTGCCATCTGCCCCTCAGAGTACTCTCCAAAGCCCCTTCTGTGCTTGCCACCTGGTCTATGCCTGCTGTAATAAGAGAGGGGAGTCAGGGTCTACGGCTCTTAGCAGTAAATGGAGTAAGCAGCTGCACTGCCCGCCCTATGCCTGTCAAATTGTCTGTTTAGTGGGAAGCCATTTGCTCTTAACGCCACTCTGGATATTCTCAACCTGAGTGCATGGTTTCCTGTTTGTGTATCCTGGGACACCTGTCCATCTCTGGTCCAGCCTGCCTGGGATGGGCTTGTATCCACTGTGTGAGTCCCTGCCTGGTCCCTGCTGGCCAGCACTTCACAAATACACCAAGGAATTCACGGTAGGCAACACCTGACTTCCTCAGGGAAGAAGTCCAAGAGTGGGGATTCCATACAAGCACCAGAAGAAACATGTATTTAGGATATCACTGCTAAATAATGCAAAACCACAATACCACAGGTGTCAAAAGGGATGCAGAGCCCCCAGGCTTTCTCTGCCTCACATCCCTCAGGGTCCCCAGTTAGGATCCTGCACAGCTACACAGCAGAAGAGGATGTGAGTTGCCACTTCCCAGTTTCTGGCAAGTGAAAAGCACTGGTCCAGGGCTCATTTCTGGAATGCAGAGCTGAGTCCTGGCATTCCCACACACAGCCTAGACAGGTGACTGTTGGTCATGGGCCAATTTGCATTTAGCAAATGGCACCTATCCAAGAGTTTGGGCCCCTTTTTCCGCTATCCTATCACATTTTTGTTATTAATTTATAAGAATTTAGGTACTTTGTATTCATGTCTTGTAATTTATAGTTGGGAAATGAAGAAGTCTATTCCCTTTTAAGGGTCTTCTTGGGAAAACTGAGAAAGTGGAGGAATTTGAGAGCAGGGGACTCCTCTGTCCTAAAAGCCCAGCCAATAAGTGGGGTCTGCCCCCACCCCACCTAGCACACCTCAAAGTGTGCCTATGCTCCTTATTCCTAATACACACGCCCTCCACACACACACACAGAGTTGCTATGTTGTGCTTATTTTTAACCCAATTTTTAAATCTAAGTTTCACATTTCTGACTTTTATATTTTGTAGTTTATTTGCATGGTAAGCTTAGTGGGACTTTGAGAGGAAAAGATATTTACTGAGTACTGAAGTTGGCCCAATTTTAACATGTTCCTGCCATCTTAAATCCCCAGTGTTACATCTGATGACCTGTACCTCCAGATGGGACTAACCCCTGACCCCAAATGGGACAGTCATGCATGCACCACTGGTGGTTCAAAGCTATCCAGCAGCAAGACATAGGAATTACAGCCCCACTGTGAGTGTGTTAATGAGGTTCTAGAAGATGATCGCCATATTTCCAGATGGTAGATGACACAAATGAGCCCTACTGGATAGCAGCTGACTGCTTAGTGAAGGGCTGAGGGCATGTCCAGTGGGTTCCCTGGTGTTTACAGATAAAACATGGGCCCCTGTGACCCCATTATTGATCGTAATCTCATGCAAATTGACATTCTACAACTGCTTTTCTGCATCCTTTTGGGGGGCAAGATCAACATGTGGGAAGAAGCTGAATTTCGTAATGCAGAAATTGATTATGAACTGTTGATGATCAAGTGTGAAGGAAGGCGATAGACTCGGTCTTCCCTAAGAGCTCCCCTGAGATGCAAACTCCTCTCAGCATCCCCGTGACTGTACAGTTTCCAGAGGGGCTAGTGCCACACTTGCTCGGCCACGCACTCACAAAATACGGGCATGGAGCATAGCAGGGATTAAAAAACTCTCCGGTAGTGCTGTGGAAGTTGTGGGGTGTGTTGGTAGTGCTGCCCAGGGCCAGGTACAGAAAGGCACTAGTTATGTGCCTTATAAGAACCAGCGCCTACCTCAGGCACACAGGACCTACATGAGAAGCAGTCAGGTCTATCCTGCCTTTTAATCTAAGCCACGTTGCGCTTCCCACACACTGACTCCCAAGCAAAAAGACGACCCTTTCCCTTCTCTGCTCCATCTCTTGGACCAAAATGTAGACCATCAATGCTGAAAATGGAGCATTGCTAATAGTCAGATGTTACTGACACCACAGTAGAAAGAAAAATGTGAAGGAAAAGTCCAGTGATTCAATTCCAGAAACAAGGCACTCTTTGGCTGTTGGACAAATTTTACCCAAGTTTTCAATGGTTTTCTTAGAAAGGACTTTCAGGCACTGCTTCCTTCTACAGACAGTATCACCAAGAGCACAGGTGCAGTGATTCCTGTGGCTCCCAAGCCCTCACGTCAAACGTGGCTATGCACATATAGAAAACAGCCCATGATAAGGTCCTTCTAAGAAGGGATTCACACAGGGGACAAACCCAGTCATGCTAACTTTTTCTCTTTTTTTCCATTTCCTTCATGAGTTTGGATACAGAACTATTAAATCGAAATGTTAGCTGACTGAACATATTTTTTCAGCACTTTTAAGAAAGAATTTGGATAGCAAAAGAGTTTTGAAAAATTGATATATTTTAATTCCACAGACTGTAAACCACATGTCTTTCAAGTGACAGCCAGTTGCTTTGAATATCAGGGTTTGTGTTACTGCTAATTATGGGGATCGTTCTGCTTCTGAGGCTCTCTACAGTCATGAGTCCTAACCCGTGGCCTGGCTCCCTGCTACTCTGCAGGTGTCCAAATAAGGAACAGAACTGCCCCTTAGAAGAGGCCATGCCCTGGAATCTACTAGCAAACTCTCCATGAACACCTAAATCCTTTATATGAGTAATTAGGGACAATGTCCACTTCATTATGTAATGATCCAGCTTGCCAGTCTTTGTGAGTATAACCCAGGTAGCTAGAGGGTGATGTTTCTACAAATCAAGCCTGAACTGCAGACACAGCAGATCATTTTCAAATAAAAAGAATCAGAAGCATTTATGGCCCTTTGGTAGAATATTAATGGAAAAAGACCATTTTATAGATTATTATCCTGCCAGTTTTATTATTTTCAGTATATCATGCCCTGCTATGAATAATAAAATAGCATAAATAAACCCTCTGGAAACTGACCTGTGAAAAATAATCTACCTTCTCTTTGAAAACATATATATACAAAACCAGAAAAGTTTGCTTTTTTTGGCCAAAACCAAACACTGGGTCATTTCTACTTGTGACTACAGTCTTTGCGATTGTTTTAAAAAATTAGAAATTCCTGAGTCACCATAATCTTTCAGGATTGAAAGTGGAATATCCTCCTTCAGTGATTTCTGCTCTGCCCTATGCGTACATATACATGTGCATGTATATACATATTTATGTATTTACATGTATTTTGTTTGTTTGTTTTGCTTTGGTGAGTTCTGTTTTATGCATGCATATATAATGCACATTTATCTTGCTTTTCTCCCTTAGAAATAGCTTTTATTACTACCTTAGGTTTTGTCTACTGACACCGTCTCATTCCCACAATTACTGTTTCATTTAAACTGAATTCCCTTTTGAATTATGAGCAAACATAGGTGAGATGACCCTCAGAAACAACAAACTAGTCCCCCAAGAGCCAAGTCTGACCTGACCTACCCGGGCAGCGAGGGGTCTTGTGGGCCACAGCAGTGCCACTCACAGGTCTTCCGTTGGGCGTGACGCACCAGCAGTACCCCGTGTAGCTGTGACACTGAACCTGCCGAGAGAAGACACAGCTGAGCTCCCCGGACATGCACGCCATCCCTCTCAGTGAGGCTGCCTGTTTATGCGGCATTACCTCGTGGGAGCCCCCAAAACTCCTGCCTCCCTGGGGCCTGGGGTATCTGAGGGAGCTGGTGCTGCCTTTAATCACCATTCTAGGAGAAGAAGCTGCAAGCTGTGCCATCAGAGCCTGGCCGACTGCTGCTGCCCAGAGGAAGCCCCGCTCTCACCTCACACAGCAGGAACCTGAGGCCTGCAGGGGCCAGCAGATTCACTCACTGCCACTGTGGCAGAGTCCAGGAGAAGAGCCAGGCCTCTTGAGGCTAGCGGGTGTCTTTCTGTGGCAACTCCCAGGCCTTGGTTGTAAGCTCTTAGCCCTCCTAAGACAATCAAGGTAGAGAGGATGCCCCTTGGCTCCCCAACTCTCCCACTTCCCTTCCTCATCTCTCAATGACCAAGAGACTACAGTAAGACTGAGGCCCACGCTGCCACATACCAAAGGGGAATCATGCTTCTCTTTCACCCACACCATGTGGACACTGCATGTTCAGGGGTACCCCATAAGGAATAACAGCATCACTGCTCCCCTAACAGGGACTTGGGTTACTTTCAACACTGCCTTTGACTAACAACTTGACTACAGGCCCAGCACAGCCGGGTTTGGCCAGCATCCAACCCTGATCCCAATGGGCTGGGCTAAACCACGGCTCGCGCTACACTGATGCTATGGTTCTTGGCACAAGCTCCTCACAATAGAAATTAAACCAAAATTAAATCCTCAGCATGGATCCAGTTGGTGTGGTCTGAAGAGCCTACTAAGCATGCTATCCTGTGCAAGTTCATGATTGTTTCCACCAACCGAGGCACAGTGGTACCCATTGAAACATCGGCTTCCTAGGAACCCCACTTCTGCAATACAGGTCAATTTCCCCCAGGGCAGCCCACCTGCCCCGGAGTCACTGCACAGGGGCCCCCCAGTACCTGGCTGTAGGTACCATCCTCATTACATTCTGGAATGAAGACCTGCTGCAGCTCCTTCCGGGCCTGCTCCTGGGTGTACTTCCTCTCGGCCACACACCTGGACACATCTGCAGGGAGAACAGGGCAGAAGGTTATGTAACGAGGATCATGGATGAGCAGCCACCCAGACTCGCAGGGGCTCCTCAGCAGGCGGGAACCTCCTGCCCTGTGTGGAGGCAGAGAAGCAGGTGGCTACCAGATATAAATGAGAGGAAGATGGACTCTCTGAGAAGTTTTCCAGGGTGTCTATGGGAAGTAGGTAGGAAGGAAGGCCACAGCCACAGGCTGCCCACCAACAGCCCAGAACTGCACCCAGATGCAACAGGGCAGGTTCAGGGACAAAAGTGAATTCAGACCACATGGAACCAACCAGAGAAGGGGTGGAGGGACATCTCGTGTGGTAGGGGCCTTTCATCTCCAATCATAGTCTCTGAGCCAAGATCACCTTGGAGTGGAAATCAGAATTCCTCTCTATTTTCTTTACCTAGGATCCTAAAGTCTGTATGAAGCTCACATCTCTTCCAACTTCACTTGGAAAATCTGATAATCAAACAGATAAAAGCGGCTACTACCCTTAGCACGACTCCTACTCTGCCCAAATGGCCATACATCCAGGTTACATCACTACATCGTGGTGATGTACTTAATTTTGCAAAGCAGGGTGCTGGCAGGCTGCACAGGAAATCAGGAGTCAGTGATGCCAAGAGTGAAGCTGCCTCCTTTCTGCATGATTGGAACTGGACTCGGGCCACATTGGACCTGAGAGTCACAGGTGCGGAGCTCCCTGACCCAGCAAGAGTGCACAGTGGGGCAGGGGGTGTGACGTGACCCAGGGCTTCACTCTCTGCCGTCAGGAGGATCCATTCCTTGTTCCTCAACTCCTTCCAGAATATACCATGGTTCCTCGGAGACAGCTCCTCAGAGTTGTAAAACTTGCCGGAAGCAGTGTCCCCACTTTTGTGCTTCCCGGTCCAGGTAGCTTGTGTCTGGGTCTCTGAGAGATGCCTCTTCACTTCCGCCTGTACCTCGTCTTCAGATGGCAGCACCTCGCTGCCCAGCTGGTGGGGAGGAAATGCCTCCCTGGGCCCAGCTAGGACCAACAGCTGGGTGTGACTCCTGTCACTGGTGAGGAGACCCCTCGTTTCACCCAGATTCAGCCAGGGCTCTGATCACACCAGGGTCACTGGCTTCCATGTGGCTTCCATCCCGACTTGGGCGGGCAGCCAGTACTCAGCAGCACTCCGTGGTTTCGACGCAGTCTGTGTTCACTTAGAAGTCACTGCTGTGCTGAGCTCACCTCGTTTTTTTAGCCCGACCTGTGGTTTGACTGTCTAAAAGGAAAAGCGATCTGAGTCGCAGCTTGCAAGGTCTCAACCCACGTAGAGACAGAGCCATAAATTATTCCTCCTATTTGAACTATCACAGAACATGCCAGAAGAGCATAAATTTTCCAAACAACTTGCGGGCTCCATTCCTGGCTCAGACTTCTTTTCAAGCCTTCACATTTGCCACTGGTTAGAACATTCTCAAACCTGCAGCTCATGTGTTCAACAGGATATTAAATTCCGAGTTCACATCCAGTATACTGCTGGCTGGTCACAGGAGAACTGAAAACAGGAGCACGAAATTACAGGGTCTGTGGAAATCACCCCTCCAAACAAGCCTGCTGTTACCTTGTGAGCAACCCAGGTTAGCTCAGGCCACCTATCTGTCATTCCATACTGCAGATATTTAGTGTTCAATTAGGCAAAAGGGCCTCACTGCTAACAAGTCTGGGCAAAAGTTGTCAGATGAGAGGACTCAGAAGCATCAATCAGGACAGATCCACATTCAAAACCCTCAGTGGCTCTACCGGGCTCCTCATGCCACTTTAGTTAGATGCATAACATATGCACGTCTTAGACTAAAGGAATCCAAGTGGTCTACACAGCCTCAACATTATTTTTCTAAACCTTCTAATTGTTCGATCACATTTTAAAGAATAGAATAGAAATGTCCAGCATTCCCTCCTTGAATATTTAAAGGTGATACATCTCTATTATTACATTTCTGTCCTTTGTGCTTTTGTATTAAATTAAAAAGTGAGCAGGTTCTGCGTTAAGGACCTTTGGGGATTTTACTTTGGACACTTTCTTCCTCATTGTTGGTTCTAAATTATGCAAAATATAAACAAAGTAATGTTCACTATGATACACCTACATGTAACATAAAAGCTGTCATTTAAGCACTTTGAAGTGTGCCATGCATTGGAAGTTAGTGCTCCTTCAGCATTGTGTAACCAGAGCCACCACCTCACCGTCTTCTGCAGGACACCCCATGTCTCCACTTTCGGAACTACAGATTTGCCATTCTGGATATTTTATATCCCCAGAATTACATCATGGCCACTTTGTCTGGCTTCCTTCAACTGAAGGAAGAATTCTCAAGGCTGGCCTGATCTATCTCCGTGTTCTGAAGAGAAAAGGCAGTATACCCTGCTGTCACACTGTGGCTCTGAGTCCTCGAGTCAAAAGAGGAAGAAGACTACAGCAGCCATTGCTCTCTATGACAGTCTCACTGCAGCCAAGATGAACTCTACCTCTGTGCCCCTTAGGGTTTGCCTGAGGAAAGAGCCAAAGGTCTATGACAGTGACAATCCTTTCACTCCTGCTGCAGTGACAGGAGCCTGGCAGTGGTCACTGGAGGCACCTTGCCTTACAGACTGTCCTGCGCTAAGAGCTCACTCACCCACAGAGCCTGCCCAGGACACTTGGCGATGTCACACTGCTAAGGGGCAGTGCACAGCAGAGGACGATGACCAGGGCCAGGAAGCATTCTGTATCTGAACCCGCACTTTATGGGTCCGATACAGAGTTCTTGGTAACAGGAATCTCCAAGGAAGTTACTTTTATTACAATTTTTGTTTCCAAAAATTTGAAAATAGTTTCAAAGTCTCTTGGCATGTAACTTTTTTTCTGGCTCTTTTAGTCAATGCCAAACATTTTGTTAAAGAGAAAGACAAGCCCACTGTTCTTAGATCAAAAGAAAAATTATTAATGTGTTTGCTGAGTTCAGAAAACACAAACTCCACAAATTTCTATGAAAATATGAGAAAAATCCATCAGTTTAAACCACTGCAATTCTCCTCAAGGTCAATGGTTAGATCATAATATGAAATGCATGAAACATTTTAATCCTATTTAATTAAATGTGGACTAAAATATTTTAATTGTCATTTCCAAACCAGTACATCCCAAAGACACAGGCCCACAAGAACTGTCATCTGCCAAATATGTAGAAATACCCTCAGAATACTGAAGTCAGCAGCAGTGGCCCATCTGCCAGGGGGACACTGGAGAATGCTGGCCAACTTCAGCACCAGGAATAGGTGCAAGCAGGACCTGTGTCACTTGTAGGGAGGAGAGGCGTTAATGGATCCCTTTTAAGGTGCATTCCTACCCTGCTGGTCTGAAGAATCTGCGGTCTTTATGCTCTCACAGAACAGATGGACTTCGGACATCATAGTACAGTTCTCCCTGCCAGCCAAGCCATTTCTGCTCTGCACCAGTGTGGGTAGTGGGCAGTAAATGCTGGATGCCAGGGATCTGGTTGAAAACACTTGACAGTGAACAGAGTCCATAGGAAGGAGCTCACCCCAAAATAAGACCGTCTGCCCTTCGTGAATCAGGACCCAGGCCAAGGAGATCCACGCACAGGCCAGAAGCCCTTTCTAGGGCAGCCCAGCACAGGAAAGGCTCACTTACCACAGATGAGAGCTGAAACAGAGCCCCTCAAGGCCAGCTGTGCACCTCAAATCTAGAGCTCCAAAGGCATGTGATAGCCAGCTGTGTTTGGAAAGCAAAGTTTGTAATATGTCGTCGTCTGTAGACCTGGTGGTCCCTGCTGCCCTGGGTTAAATCCAACTATGAATCTGCAGGTGTCTCTGCTTTGTTCTCATAATCATCCTGATTTAAATTAAGTCAACTTTGAGCAGTGAATCCCATTTTTACCTTCTTCTGCCCTATCTCATTTTGGGAGTCTGATGATACATCTCCATTGACATGAATAGAATTCTAACCAAGGGAATTTTCTAGAGAAACTAGGCTAGGTACAACCCAGACTAAACTAACAAGGACACTCCTGAAGAGGACAGGAGTGTTTTTATTCAAATTTACAAAAAGGAATCCAACTTTGATCTTGCTGTAGCTGGTCAGAGATCTGAAGTCAAAGCCCAGGGTATGGAGGAAGCACCTCCAAAAGTGGATAGAAGAGGCCGGTGTGAGACTCTCCCCCCCCCCCCAGCCAGGAGGCCCCTGGGTTTTCTCAAATCATCTCTGGACTTCCATCCTTGAAGTCTGAGGCATCCATTGCCTTCTGCCCATCACTTCTTACAGCTTCTGCTTCCCACAAGGTAGAAGCAGACTGCAGAAGCTCACAGCCCAGCTCTCCACAACCAGGGTCACCTTCTCTCCTAGTCCCACCCATTGTTCCTTGCAGGACCCTCCGATGGGGTTCCACCTGGAATCTTTGTGATCTTAGCATACAAGGAGTACCACACTCTCGTGTGAGGAGGTTTCAGAACCAGCACTCTGCACACAATCACAGTCTACTATCCTCTTGCACCCTCTGGCACAGAACAGTCTCCCTAGGCCTCTTCCCCGAGGGTCCACTACCTGTGATATTCTCAGGCCCTGGCCATCCTGCAGCCTTTAAGTGCTGGGTACCCCAAAAGACTGCAGACTACAAACACATGCACAGGGACAAGTTTGTACCTGGGTGAATATGAGGCTCCAGAATAGCTCAAGCTGCATTTCTGTGGGAGCCCAACTCTGAATACCCAGAAGTTTCTTGGCCTTGTCAATAGGAGGCGCTCTCGGGGATAAAGAGCATGCATAAGTGTATCTTGGCAATCTGGAAGGATAATGCAAATCTGTGCAGGGTCTGAATGAGTTGCATTGTGAAAGGAGGAACCAGTGGACCTGCAACCAGGCCAGTCATGTGCTGAGGTATTGGGCTCTGCCAGTGGTTGGTGTGGTCATCATTTTGTTCAGCTAACAAGACTGCTGCGCCAAAAGCTGGCTGAGGCAGAAAACCATTTCAAAGGCGGTTTTAGTCTCTGTGGTGTTGTTTCCCAGAGAATAAGGGAAAGAAGGTAAGTAAGTCTTTAGTGAAATGATTCTGTTTGTGTTGGAAACACCAACATCTTTTGCTGAGTCAAACCTTCCTTAGTGAGTGAAGCCTTCCCTTATTTCTCTCTAAGCCTGAGTACTCTCTCTGAATCTGATTCTTAAAGGGAAATACTGAAAATTGCAAGGGTGAGCTTCTTCCAAAAAACATCACTGTAAATATCACAGGTGCCACTGCACATTTGCTAAAGAGTCAAATGAGGGAGAACTGGAGAAACCATAGAAAATTTAAGTAAGAATGATTTTAGATGATCTTGGGAAAAAGTGTGAAATAGCTGGATAAATTTGTTTCACCACAACATGGAGCACTTTAAAAGAAGAATTAAACAGTGTCCAGGTCAATGCTCTGAAATTGATAGGAACTGCCCCTCACCCTTACATGTGAAAATAAACTAGAAGCACATGACTTTCGTAGCATCCGCAGTGGCACGGATATTCAAAGCTCACCTTTGCAGTTTCCTCGGTAAGCGATCTCCAAGCGAGGGTCTTTGCACTTGGCGCGCTGGAATTCACAGCGGGACAGGAAGGTCCTTCCATCTGAGGCACAGAGAGGTCTCTGGGGAGAGCCTGTGCAGTCCAAGCTACAGTCTCTGTCTTTATCTTGATCAACTCTCAAAAACTTGGGGAACAAAAAAAAAAAAGGTGAAGTCAGACAAATTTTTAAAAAGTGTAGAGCAGCAGGAAAGGCAAGGTGTGAGGCTCTTTAGCGCTCACTCATCCCAGGCAGAAAGATCATGTTAGTCTCTTTAAAATGCTAAGCTGTCATCTCCTGCAAAAACCCTCAATAATTCCTGAACCCCACATTTGATGTCTGATACTGAACAGCACCTTCAGCCCTTCTTCTCCGGAAAGCGCCACACTTGGGTCCTCTTTGACTCCTTTTCCTGGAAGTTCCAGGGATCAGGACTATGCACCCTTGGGACCAGAAGGGCAGCCTTCTCCATACGGCAACATGCAATTTCACCTGCCTTCTCAGAAGCCATGGGAGTGTTCGTGTGAACCAAATGATGGCTGTGGAACACATGTGTGTTGAGTGCTCACTCAGGAAGTCAGTGAGTGCACTCATGCACAGAAGCCCAGAGATAGCTGCTACAGGTCCACAACAATGCCTCAGACCCACGCTTCTCCCACAGCACAGAGAGCATCAGGATGCTGAGAATGGGGCTTGGAGGCCGTGCTGCAGCCCTCCAAGTGGTACCAGCCCTGGGAGGCTCCCTGCAGGGCCTGTGCAGCATGCTCTGAGGACTCTTTCTCAGGCGTGGCTCCACAGATAGCCAGGCTTCTCCTTCTTGTCCTCACACACACCAGTTCAGCATCTACTGTGACTTCAAGGGAAGCCTCAGATCGGACCCCACACACACTCACTTCTTTGAGCAATGACCTAGTGTCCGTGTCACCCTCACCTCCCATGTGAACCTCCTCTTATCTGATCCCGCATCACACCAGACAGTGAGACAAGCAGAAAAGTGACTCCCAAGCAACGCAGGGTGGATGAGACTGAGTGTCAGGCTGTGGAGCACGACCCAACCCTGAAAGGTCTCTTCTGATGTACAGAGCACACACAATGTACTAAAGGAAAGAGTGCAAGGAAGAAGACAGTGCAGAGCTGTGAGTCTCCCCAGTACTATGGGCCTCCCAAGCACCCCATGTGTTTGAGCAGGTTTTTCTGGCACCATCTACCTGTCTGATGGAGACAGAGAAGTCTGGTAAACATGACGTCCCCTCTTCTAGTCTGAGCTACAGAAAAAGTAGGAAGGAGACCAAGCCAATTCCTTAGGCACCCATCACCTCATTCCTCCCTCTATAAAAGAACACAGATGAGTTCTCAGAATCAGGGTGCTGCCTGCCTTGAAAATTTACCAAGGCCTCCCTCTGGGAGGTTTGAGGGGCTGGTTTTGCTTAACAATCACCAACCAGACACTAGAATCAAACACACTGAAGGGACGGGATGGCCCTTGAGGACAGCCTGCTTGAGGGGGACTACCCTACTCACTAGGAGCCCAGGGAGGGCGGCCAGTGTATTGTGGGTGGAGACCCCTCAAGAGTGGTCGTTCAGGAGGTCGGGCCACTGCTCCAACAGCCACTTCCCAGATTTCTGAGGAGTGAGGGGAGGCTGAGCCAAGAGGTAAGGACAGATCCTCAGGTGGAGCCCCCAGAGCATAGAGAGCAGTTTCAAGGCAGCACACTTTTATTTCTCCTGAGATTCATTTGTCTGCTAAAATGATCACGCGTGTTGGAGCCACAACCCAGAGAAAACAGATCAACGTCTGCTTAGAGCTTCGCAAACACCTGTGGTTTTTTGTGCTATTAGTATGTTGTTTGTGATTGTTCTGCTGTTTTTGATGTTTTTTGTTTTGTTTTGTTTTGTTTTTTGGTAGTACTGGGGACTGAACCCAGGACTCTGCACTAACTACTTCTCCAGCCATTATCTTTTTTCTTTCTTTGGTTGCTTTGTTTTGTTTTGACAGGGTTTAAAATTTTGAGCCTGGTTTCTCAGCCTCCAAGAGTTCTGGGACTGCAATATTACACTGTCATGACTGACTTGGTGGTGGTGGTGGTGGTGGTGGCGGTTGTGATGATGGTGTTTCTATGTGTGTTTTAATGGGCAGAGCAAGCTCATAATACATTCACCCAAATCTTGACACTAATGAATTTCAATGCCACTTATCACATTGCCCCCCAGGAGGCAGGACTTATGCAGGGAGGCAGATGCCCTCCTGTCTGGCACCTTGGGAAGCTCATCTCCTATCTCACAAAACTGTGGTATCTGTGGTGAGTTTCAGTAGACTCTCCCTACCCAAACCCCCACAGGTCAAGCACAGCAGTGTCTTACAGAGAAAAGCAGCAAAAAGCAAAGGCCACACCATCAAGTCCCTGATGTGCGGCAGGAGAAAAGACTGCCCTAGACAGCTCTGCTCCAGCAATGCAGAGGACTTGGGCCTCAGGACTTCAGGTTTAACACGGCCACCTGCATGCCTCAGGCTCATGGAGGACTGCAAAGGACTCCATGCCATAGTGTCATTACTGCTGCCTCCTTTGAGGAGAAGAGATCACACCTATATGGTCATTAACAAACACTAGCATTTGTGCATCCGGAATTTGATGAGGATTCTGGATATTTTCATGATGCACAACTAAGATTGGAAGAATTCCCTTCTAGGAAAAGGAGAACACACTTCAGGCCCTTTTCTCTCTCTCTCTCTCTCCACCTTGATGAGAAATTGAATGGAGGAAGATAGGCCTTCATAACTAAGTAATATCCGTTAACAAAAGAGCCTACCAAAGAAAGTAAGCATTCTGATTCTCCAGACTATAAATTATTAAAAGAGCCTGATTGCGGTTCCTCTAACTAGCTCGAGATAGAAAGCACTTTGGCAGGAGGGCCTTGGTGGTGAACACCTTTAATCCCAGCTGAGTCAGGAGAATCAAAAATTCAAGCCCGGCATGGACAGCTTATTTAGTAAAATCCTATCTCAAAATTTAAAAAAATCAAATGATCCAGAGATGTAGCTTGGTGCAGAAGTCCTGGGTACACCCCCTAGGGCTGCAGAAAGAAAAAAAGAAAGCACTTTGCCAAATTTAGAATGAAGTCAATAGGACCCAGAGCAACTTTTATGTTTTAAAAAAAATGAAACTAATTTTGCATGACAAGGGTCTCCCAGTTCTTTGCACTGGCCCTGCCCAGTGCTGTTTGCACAGGTGCAAGGGGAGCGGGTATGGGGAGCACAGAGGGCCAGGACATGACTCTGTGGGCGTCAGGCAACCTCGCACTGGGAGAAGCTGAGTCCAACACAATGGATCAAAAACACCCTACGTTTTTCATAATGAATACCTGGGTTTAAGCCAAAAGAAAGAGTTTAAGACAAAGTCAAACCAGTAGAGAAACAGGTTTAAACAGTGATTGTAGAGACTTTCCTGAGCACACAGAACAAAAAAAGGGGAAAAAGTCAAGACAGTCTCACTACTGAGACATGCACATCCCTGGCTGTGGGGACCACAGAAGCAGGCATCTTATATAAGAGGCCCTGGAGGTAGGCAGCTTGCAAGCAAAAGACTGCCAAGAACTGAGCATGGACCGGAGACAGACTGTGCACCCCAGCCCACCTACCCAGCAGCTCTGAGAGTGCCAATGCCTCTTCCTCTCCCTTGGACAGCCTGGATTTCCCAGAGTATCAGGAAAACCTGTGACCCAAACCTCATAACTGCTTTCTGAAGCAATCCTAAGATTCAACAGTGCAGCACCACACAGCCTCAGGAGGTTTTCCCAGAGACTTCCGAGTCTTCATCCATGTACTACCCTCCTCTTCCCCTTCGGCAGAGTCTCAGGTGCTCTGTGTGTTAAAAACACCTTAGCTCAGCACCTTGGCCTCCTCGGTCCCACACGCTCAGAAAGTCTCATCTTTCCAAGTTAGCTCACAAGTCAGGACCTGCTTACTGTACTCCCCTAGCGCTCCCCAAGTGACCATTGTGCTCTCTGGACACCAGGGAGGAGGCCCTGTGCTCACCCAGCCTGGCACCTCCAGGGCAGTAAACAGTGGTGCGCTGGGAACAGTCACATCGTGGGAGGTGGAGCATGAGTGTTGGAGAGGACTGATCCAGGGGTTGGACAGGGGCCAGATGAGGAGGAAAGAGCAGGAAACCCAGCTGGCGAATCAATTCAGCTGAGGGCAGAATAGTCAACAGCATCAGGAGATAGAAGGAAGTCATTTTCAAGAGGTCTGATACATGGGCATGGTAATGGTAGGCCTACAAATTGTGGGCTGAGGTTCCTCTGAGGATCTGGGGTGCTCCTGTGTTCAAACATAAAATGATAGCAACAGGGGTCTCCTTCCTCCAATCAGAAAATCTCAGATCACATACTCCCCTTGCTACAGCATGCAGAGGATGCCAGTGGGCACTCCATATGGAACCTGCCCACAGTGAGCATGTTTTCTGGATCCCATTACAGTTTGGGAGCTGAGCTCGGTGGAGGCATGCCCTTAATGTGAACATCAGCACTTCGGCCCCTTCTGCCTTCCCTCTTCACTCATCAGTGCCACAAGATGAATAGCTCCTCTCTGTCCTCTGACCCATGATCTTCTGCCTCACCACAGGCCAAAGTCACAGGGCCAAATAACGATGGCCTGAAACCTCAGGAACTGGGAGTCAACATGTCTCCTTACTATAAGTTGATTTTCTCAGGTATTTTGTCATAGCAAAGGAAAACTAATACTAAAATTCCCTTTTAATGAACTAGAACAAAATGCAATGTTTGTGAGGTCGACTGCAGGTCAATTAAGGATTCGGTGACCTCTGACCTTAGGCAGGTCATTGTCAAGCCAGCACAGTCACCAGCACACTGGGCTCTGGAGGGATGGACTCAGAGTCAGTGCAGGACCTGCCTGTTTCATTTCATGGTCTCTCCAGGACTGAGTATGCTCATTTGTAAGATGTGAGTAAAGACAGCTTTGCCACAGAGTTATCTGGGAGAGCTAGAATGAAGGGGAACAGAGGTGCATATGAGCTTGCTGGGAACCTGCTTCCCACCTGTGTCCCTCTGACAAAACCACCTCGGTGGCCAGGGGCTGTCCCCAGGAGGAAGTGGTCTCCGTGAAAACAGTGGCAGGGGTCCTCATCTTC